AAGATCAGGCCCCAGAGACAGTAGCCAGGGCACCCTAAGTGGTGCCCACGGTAGAACGCCAGCAACTTGACACCATCTTTCCATGGGTTCATCCGGCTTGGGGGTAAGGAGAGGGGAGTTGTGGCTGTTCTGGGTAGAAGGCAGGGACCTGGGCTTTAGTCCTGGCTTCATCATTTATCTCTGTGAGGCTTTGGGTAAGACACTGGCTGATCCTGGACCTCTGTTCTCTCCTAAGGCCCAAGATGGTGGCAGCTTCCCAAAGGAAGATACTAAACTAGCCTCTCCCATGGGCAAATTCAAATACACACAGGTGTACAGAGCAGTTATTCCTGAGAGACAACTGAGAGCTGGATGAACAGCTCTGACCAACAAACCGGGGAAAGAGGCCGGAGAGAGGAGGCCGGGAAGCATGAGAGCTTTCCAAGAGCTGCAAGAGCTCTCTGGCCAGAGGAGCCCTCGAGCACCATTGTTTACAGCCCCTCCGTTTCGGTAGGGCAGCTGGGAGCTCACTGGGTGGCTCACTGGGTGACTTTGGCCTACCTGCAAGGTCACCACAGATTATTCTCAGCTATGATGTTTGCCTCTGAACAAAGGAAGCAAGCACAAAGGCAAAGCAGTGCCCCAGGCGCTGTAACCACCCGCTCAGCTCCAACCAGCTTCCCAAGCTCCCCTGCACATAAAGCCTACACAGAGGCTGCCTCTATTCAGGACCGATTTGGTAACAAACAAGAGAGAGAACGTACAGTGAGGGCTGGAGAGCTGTGGGAGCTCTCTGAGAGCCAGGGAATCAGGCCAGAGAGGCAAGTAAGAATCATTGTTTATGACCCCCTCCACCTCCATAGCGGGGGCAGGGCTCTATCCAGCCTACCTGCAGGTCGCTTCAGCGTCTCTTGGCCGCACTGCCCAAGCCCATTTTGGCCTCACGCTTAAAGAGCAGGCGCCATCAATCAACAGGCCACACCTGGCCTCCCCACCTGGCACTGCTCTGAATGCCTTAAAGCACCCGCTTGTCTCTTACGACCAGCCAAAACCACTGGCACACACAGCCCACAGAGAGGCTGCTTCTCAAGGCTGAGAGAGCTAGAGAGAAAGAGAGGAGAGGGAGAGAAAGAGAGGAGAGGGAGAAAGAGAGAAAGAGAGAGAGAGAGAGAGAGAGAGAGAGAGAGAGAGAGAGAGCTCTATTTTAATTTATATAAACAAATATAGAAAGTCAAACAAAATGAGAAGACAGAATAATACCTCTCAAATAGAAAAATAAGAAAAAAATCCCCAGAAAACCCTAAGGAAATGGAGATAAGTAATTTGCCTTATAAAAGACTGAAATAGTCATAGGGTGCTCCGCAAACTTGAGAGGGGAATAGAAGAATTTAGGGAGAACTCCCACAAAGAGTTAGAAAGTAAATGTAGAACTAAGTATAACTGAAGAATATAATAACTAAAATGAAAAACACATTAGAAACAATCAACAGCAGATTAGCTAACACCGAAGAATGGAAAACAGACTAGTGGGAATCAACCAATCACAACAGCAAAAAGAAAAAAAATTTTAATGAGGACAGTTTGAGGGACCTCTGGGATAACATGATGAGCTCAAACATTCACATTATAAGGATCCCAGAAGGAAAATAGAGAAAGAGAAACTTTATTTAAAGAAATAATGGCTGAAAATGTTCCTAACCTGGGAAAAGAAATAGACATCCAGGTCCAAGAAGCAGAGAGACTTCCAAAGAGATGAACCCAGAGGGACCCACACCAAGACGTATTGTAATTAAAATGGAAGAAGTTAAAGATAAAGAGCCAATCTTGAAGGAAGAAAAGGAAAACATCAAATTACATACAAAAGAAACACCATAACACCTTCAGCTGATTTCTCAGCAGCTACTTTATAGGACATCTTTAAAGTGCTGACAGAAAGGAACCTACAACCTAGAGTAATTTATCCAGCAAGGTTATTATTATTCAGAATTGAGGAGAGATAGTTTCCTGGCTAAGCAAAAACTAAAGGAGTCCATCACCAGCTTTACAAGAAATGAAACCAGCTTTACAAGAAAAGTTAAAGGGTCTTCTTTAAGCAGAAAAGGAAAGGCCATAACTATCACCTGAAATAGACAACTATAGATATAGGATAATATACATAAACTTCATAGTAACCATCAATCAAAACCCTAAAAAAGATAAATAAAGAACAAAGAGAAAGGACTCCAAACAAACAAACAAAAACAAAACAAACAAAAAAGCCTAGCAGAAGATGGTGGCAAAGGTAAATGCCTATATTCGCTGCCTCCCACAATCACATCAAAATCACAACTAAAATACAGAACAACCATCATCCAGAACCACTGAAAAGCTGGCTGAATGAAGTCCTACAACTAGAGAAGAACAGAAGAAAGCACACTGAGAGTGGGAGGAGGTGCAGAGATATAGGACGGCTGGCCCAGCACCCACCAGTGCTGCTGTTTTAATCGGGAGGGAGATCATCTCTGCAGAGGCCTTCCATGAAGAGCAAGGAGTCCTAGCCCCACACCAGACTCCAGCCCAGGGCCCAAGATCTGGGAAAAGAAGTCCCGACGGGCAATTAGAACTATGGACTATAAAATCCAATGCAGATCGGGGCTCAGTGACACAGAGGTTGCTGGAGACCCAGCTGTTCCTCTTAAAAGACCGGCACCACAAATTGAACTTACAAGGTCCTGCTTCCTTTGAGCTCCAGCACCAGGGTGAAGCTCTGGAGAACACAGACACATACAAGGAGGAACTGGATTGTCTGGCATCAGGGTAGGAACTCCCAGTCAAAGGTGCTTGCCGGGATCATTGTTCCTATGCTGGGACCTCCCCAGTCACAGGGCTAACTGGCAGCCATTTCTGTTTGCTCTGCCCTAGTGATTCCCTAAAACCCAGTCTCATCCAATTTATAATCCCACCCAAGCTGGGATCCCACCATTGCATATGAATGGCCTGTCCTTGCTCAGGCTAAATCTTTCAACAAACTGCAGCTGGGTCAGGGAGACCCAAGACCCAGCACCAGCACCAGCCTGCCTAGCTTCATAGTTGGGCCTCATCTGGGCACTTTCAAACCCGATACAAAGAGGAAGAATCTGCAGATCTCTGTGTAGCTCCTGCTGGGTGGCCCCAGGCAGTGCACTTCCCTGGAGACTCAAGAGCCAGTGTACCCAGTGGTCAGTGTGAGACCATACCAGATTACAACTCTACGCATCCATAAGTGACACACTCAAGGGGCAGACACAGTGAGCACCAAAGCCCCACAGAAGCAAGTTCTGCTCCATGAGGGTGTCTCCTGCACAGCAGCTCTCTCACTGTAGTCCTAGCTGGTCCTCAGAGCCAGCTGGCCTGGAGGTCAATTCCTCCCAGTGATACCAACAGCAATCAAGTCTCAACCACAGCAAGATTGTGCTCACAGCCCACAAAGGGGTGCACCTAGAGTGCCCAGCTCAGCTGACTGGGGAGACTGAGCCACTGGGCCCTGTAGGACACCTACTACCCAAGGCCACTCTAGCAACTCAAGGGGACAGAGCAGCTCTACCCAATACATGGAAACAAACGCAGGGAAGCAGCCAAAATGCAGAGACAAAGAAATATAGCACAGATGAAAGAAATGGAAGAAAGCAAACCACTGGATATAGAGTTCAAAACCATGGCTATAAAGTTACTCAAAAATCTTCTAGAAACTTAAAAAAAAAAAAAAATGGAAAAGGTCCAGTCAGAAATTAAGCATACACTGACTGAAATAAAGAATAATATACAGCAATTCAACAGTAGAGTAAAGGATTCTAAGAATCAAATTAATGATTTGAAATATAAAGAAGCAAAAAACACCCAACCACAAGAGCAAAAATAAAAAAGAATTTAAAAAATATGAAGAAAGTTTAAGAAGCCTCTGGGAAAACTTCAAGCATACCAACATTTGCATTATGGGGGTGCCAGATGAAGAGAGAGAGCAAGATATTGAAAACCTATTTAAAGAAATGATAGAAAACTTCCCTTACCTAGTGAAAGAAACAGACTTACAGTCCAGGAAGCACAGAGAGTCCCAAACAAAAGAGGACCACACCAAGACACATCATAATTAAAATGCCAAGGCTAAAGACAAAGAGAGAATCTTAAAAGCAGCAAGAGAAAAGCAGTTAGTTACCTACAAGGGAGTGCCCATAGGACTGCCAGTTTCTCAATAGAAACTATGCAGGCCAGAAGGGAATGGTAAGAAATATTCAATGTGATGAATAGCAAGAACCTACACCCAATATTACTCTACCTAGCAAAGCTATCATATAGAATTGATGGTCAGATAAAGAGCTTCACAGACAAGAAAAAGCTAAAGTTCATCACCACCAAACCAATATTATATGAAATGTTGAAGGGTATTCTTTAAGAAGAGGAAGAAGAAAAAAAGATAAAAAGATAAAAAATATCAACAACACAATGGCAACAAATACATAGCTATCAACAATTGAATCTAAAAATCAAAATAAACAAGTAATCTAATAAACAATAAACTGGTGAATAAAATAGAATCAGAAGCATGGAAATGGAACAGACTGACATTCCCAGAGGGAAGAAAGATAGGGATTAGGAAGAGATTAAACAAGGATCTTATATGCATGTATGCATATATGCATTACCTATGGACACAGACAATAGGGTGATGGAGGTCTGGGGCAGGGTGGGAACCGGGTGGAGGGAGGCAAAGGGGGGAAGAAAGAGGGACATCTGTAAGAATTAAACAATAAAGATTAAAAAAAAAAAAAAAAAAAGCTCAGCAAACCACAAGAGATCAAGAGAAGAAGAAACAGAGAACAACCAACAGTGAACAAAATGGCAATAATGACCTAGTTATCAATAATCACTTTAAAATGTAAATGGATTACCAGGCTTGTCTTGCAGTCACGGTGAGAAAACAAACTCAGCAGGCAGAATTGAAGGGTAATGCAACTTATTTATTAATATATAACAACAAAAATAATAAAGCTCATATCTGCAACAGTTTAGGTCTTTGTTATAAGGTCTTGGTCCCTTTGTCCAGACTGGCCATGACCTTCAGCTCCGGCGTCTGGGCTAGGAAGATGTTCCAGTGACCTGCATGGAGGAAAGCAGAAGAGTTGTGTATGGGTAGGTATGTGTGTGCTGGGGTATGTGGTGTGTGTGTGTGTGTGTGTGTGTGTGTGTGTGTGTGGCTGGTGGCTAGTGGCTGTGTAGAAAAAAACAGGGCAAGAAGGAGAACTGTGGGGACCTGGGTTCGGAACCCACCGGGAGGAAGGAGGCGGCGGTGTGTCTCCAACATACCCCCACATCCAGATCAGCTCTGGCACATGACCCCACCTTCAACCAACCAACAAGTGGGGGCTGAGCTTGTTTCCTGACACTTGGTGACACTGCCATCTGTGACTCCTCAGCCCCTGAAGCCCACGTGGGTCCAGTCTTGCTCAGGGGAGGGCAGAGCAAACTCAGGGCCTCAAGAGGATGTGGTTAAGAGATCCCAAGGGGAAATGTCCCCGTAGAGAGGGCAGAGGCAGCACAAGGGTTTGAGGCTCAAACCTCCCTCCTCTCCAGCCCTGTGTCCCCCATCCCAAGACCAAATCCATCGAGGTTCTGCTTTATCCTCCGGCTCCTCAGCACCGGAGTTGAGAAATCTCTGGCGCAGACACCCGCTGGATTCCTGTGCCGGGAACTGACGTCTGTGGCTCGCAACCCCCCTCCCGCACCAGCAGCCTGAAACTCCCCGAGAGGCACTGGCCCCTAGCCAGGCGCTCTTCCCTGGCCCCGTCCCAGCCCCAGGGCCCACCTTCGTGGGTGCCGGTAAGCAGCCGGAAGTTCTGTGCTTCTCTCTGGAAGTCTTGCTTCCTGACTTTCTTGATCTGAATCAAGTGGAAGATTCCTGAGGGCAGAGACAAGGGCATGAGCGGGCAAGGCGGGGCTGTGGGTCAGGGAGACGGGGTGACTCGGACTTGGAATGGACCCTGTCACCTCCCTCCCCTCCCCTGTTCTGATCAGCAGGCCAAATCCCGTGGACTGCATTTCCTCAGTATCGGGAGTCTGTTCTCCTGTCTCCACTGCCACGCTCCCCATTCCGGCCCCCTCATGTCTTGCTTGAGTCACTGCACTAGGTTTCTGACCACTTCACTCCCCCTCGAACCTAGGATCCTACCTGCAGCCATTCAAAAGTATAGTTTCCCTGTCATCCCCCTTCCCTGACCTCTTGGCACCTCTCTGCTGGTCCTGCTCTGGTTTCCATCACTCTCCTGCTCTCATATCACCACATGTCCACAATCCAGAAGGGAGGGTTGAAGGAGGGAGGGAGCAAGGGAAGAAGGAAGGAAGGAAGGAAGGAAGGAAGGAAGGAAGGAAGGAAGGAAGGAAGGAAGGAAGGAAAGAGGGAGGGAAGGAAGGAAAGAGGGAGGGAAGGAAGGAAGGAGGAAAGAGGGAGGGAAGGAAGGAAGGAAGGAGGAAAGAGGGAGGAAAGGAAGGAAAGAAGGAAGGAAGGAAGGAGGAAAGGAAGGAATGAAGGAGGAAAGGAAGGAAGGAAGGAAGGAGGGAGGGAAGGAAGGAAAGAAGGAAGGAAAGAAGAAAGGAATAAATGAATAAATGAATAAAGGAATGAATGAATGAATGGAGGGAGGGAGGAAAGGAGGGAGGAAGGGAGGGAGAAAGGAAGGAAGGAACAATGTATGGTAAAAATCAATCGGTGTGCTTATTCAGACACCAAAACACTAACAAGCGTCAGAATTGTAGGCCCCCTTTCAGTACAGTTCACCAGACCCCCCCTCCCCAAGTGGCACTGCCCGTACTCCAGCCCTAACCAACTACTTGAAGACCCCCGAGGGGCCAGGCCTTTACTAGGCCACTCTGCCTGTGGGAGCACCTTCTCTTATCACCACCAAGTGAACTCCTTCCTACTCATCCTCCAAGCCTTGGCTGGAAGTCTTCCTTCGCCCTCATCCCCTACCCCCCTGCCAGGTAGTTATAACTTCTGCCATAGAGAAAGTTATAACTACCATACCTCTTGGCTCCTGTTGATGATTGTACCTATGTCTCACATGCTATCATTGTCTATTCTTTTTTTAAAAATATATTTTTATTGATTTCAGAAAGGGAGAGAGATAGAAATATCCATGATGAGAGAGAATCATGGATTGGCTGCCTCCTGCACAGCCCACACCAGGAATTGAGCCTGCGACTCAGGCGTGTGCCCTGACTGGGAAGCGAACCTCCCAGTTCACAGGTCGATGCTCATGGTGTCACAATTGGAGCCCGGACAAGGCCACGCAGGCCAGGCTCATTGTGTCTAGTCTTGCCTCCCCCACCAGATTGGGAGCTTCTGGGGGGCTTTCCTCTCTGGGCCCCCTGAGTCTGGCCCACATTAGGCATGTAGAATGAATGAATGAATGAATGAATGGAGGGAGGGAGGAAGGGAGGGAGAAAGGAAGGAAGGGAAGGATCAGCAAATGCATGTGTACTCATTCTAGGCCAGGCCCTGAAGGAAGATGAGGTATTATTCTGGATCTCCTACTGTTTGCATTCCCCCGGGCCACTGGCACCACATGGTGCTGAAGCCTTGCCTACGTGGGCTGTGAGGTTGCACCAGCTGTTACCGCCAGGGTCAGTGGCCAGAAAGAACAGATGTGACAGCAAGGCCTCTGGTAGGCCAGTCGCACCCTCAAGGAAACCAAGAACTGGCCTTGCTGATGGGAACCTGCGTGGGAGCTCACCAAGGGCAACGGACAGCACGGATTCCGAGATGAAGGTCTCGGAAGCCAGCAATACCCTTGGGAACCCCAGCCCAGGCGTCAGGGAGCAGGATGTGGGAGAGACTGACTCCAAAGGGCCAGGCCACCTCGTGAGCGTGAGATGGGGATGGGTCCTCGTGTTCCAGGCCTGCCCCTGCACTCCCAGCCCCCCAAAAACACAAACTGGAGAGGCGGTCACAGGGAGGCAGGTGGTTGGAGGTGGGTGGATGTGTGTGTACTAGAGACCATCCGTGAGAACACAGGGGGCTTCCCTCCTAAGTGGGGGTAGGAACTGGGACCCCCTTCTACTCTGGAACCCCAGCATATAAAACACCCTTAACCCTAAGCCAACTCTCTGTTCAGCTTCTGGAGCCTGGGGCTCCCCCGCTGTGGTGTGGCCACACTTAGCCCAGGTTTCAACGGCTACCTGCTCCCTTTGTCTCCAGGCCTAGCATGCATTTCCCACTGACAATCACCCCTCGGGGTGTTTGACTCCCATGGACAGGGAGAGGGAGGCAGTGGGAGGTGGATGGGGCACTCAGACCACCCAGGAGGTCAGGAGCGGGAGGCTTGTGGTGACAGCATGGTAGGGCCTGGCGTTGTGAAGGTGAAAAGCCCCCCTCACCGTACCGCCCTGTTTCTTTTCTGAGAGGCCGGGTGGCAATGAGATGGGCCTGGAGCTACAATGTCCCCCTCTGCACCATTCTGGGCACCCCTTGAGCTTCCTCAAGCACCTACCTCCCTAAGAGCATTCGTTCACCTCTGTGGAGGCAGCCCTGGGTGGGGACAGTCAGAACTGGGTTTGAGTCTTTACTGCCTAAACTGTGTATGCCTTTGAACAAGTTATTTTACTTCTGAGACTCAGTTTACTTATCTGCAAATTGGGGCATTCATACACACCCCTCAGGTTTCCTATGTGGATTAAATGAAGCACATTGTATGTGGTGCCTGCTGCTCACCAACCACGGAGCACCGGGCATAAAAGTGGGGGCTCTGCAGCAGTCGCCAACCTTTCAGACCTCACGGACCACCACCGGTTGGCGACCGCTGCTCTAGAGCCAGAGTTCAAGGCCATTGCTACCGCCCTGCTTTTCTAAATCCCGTCCAGCCCCAGGCTCATCTCCTACACCCAAGTCGCCGATAGACTATTCTCTGTGGTCCCAGCATTTGGTGGGCTGAGGGGAGTCCCAGAATAAACACACAGCCAGCACTGCCCGGGGACGGATGGAATCTCACGGTACAAAAGAATTGTAAGGGCTACTCGCCAGCGGCCGGCAGAATCCCCACCCAGCTCTTGGCAGAGGGCATGCTCCCCTGAATGGAGCTTGCTCCCCACTTTCACACAGGAAGGCTCTAAGCATGGGAAAGTTCTTTCTCTATTGGCTGAGACCTGCTTCGCCACAATTCTGACCGAGTCAAGGAGGTAAGAGGAGAAGGATAGGGACATGGTGAGCACCTGCTATAGGTCAGAGGCTGTACCTACCTTATTTCATTATCCCTCCACACACCCTTCTCCCCAATTAACAGAAGAGAAAACTGAGGCCCAGAGAGGTCAAGCGAATGAGCCAGGCTACACAGCTAAGAAATGGCAGGAATGGGATTTAAACCCAGGCCTGATTCTAAAGCCCCTGCGTGTAGACCCCTGTGGTCGGTCAGAGCCCAGCCGCTCCCTCTGCCGGGAGCAATCCTTCGGAGCCATGAAGCCAGTGGTCCCGTCCCCCTGAGTCTTCTCTTCTCCAGGCTGCACAGCTCCGCTTTCTTCGTCCGTGCCTCCTACGACAGGGGCCAGGGCAGAGCAGGAAAAGAGCCGCATCTGACGTCACAAGACATGGGCTCTAGCTCCTCCACTTACTGGCTGTGTGGCCTGGAGCCAGGTACTTCACCTCTCTGAGCCTCAGTTTCCTCATCTGTAAAACGGGGATGATAATAATACCTAACTCTCAGGATCGCTGAGCATCACGTGAGATAATGAACGTGAAAGCACTTTGTAAACTCTAAAGTGCTCCACGATTCGGTTATTATCACGTCATTATTCTTATTGTCCCTTTACTGCCCCCTTCTGATTGTGCCCTCTTTTTCCACCCCCCACCCCCACCCCAGGCAAACCCATCAGGAGTGAAAAGTGACCTTAGAACGAATCACAATTAAAGGGGTTTCGTTTGTTTTACTCAACCCAGGGAACTTATTTTTGTCAAGAGAATCAGAAAACAGAACTTTCGTCAATGTCCTCATCAATGAAAACTTCTCTTGACCTCCATCTGGTGACATGAGTAGCCTGTTGAGTAGGGTGGGTTGTCCACGGAATGAGAAATACATTCTGGTTTTAACTTGCGGTGGAGTGATAGAACCAGCCACCCAGAAGAGGCTGAATGAGGCTAGCCTCAAGGCCCTCCTGTTCTGAGGCCGCTGTGCGGGGCCCTCCTGCCTGAAAAGATGCTGGAATCCCACTCACAGATACCTCTTTCATCAGGGTAGGCAGTACTCTGCCCTGACTCCTTGCAAGGTGCAACAACCCCTTCTGCCCAGGAGAGGGAGCACTTCCAGGCCCTGGCAATCTCGGAGTAGGTGAGCTTATCAGAACGGCCAGAGAATCAGACAGAATCAGTGTCTCCCTCTGTCCTGGGATCGGGGACTCAAACCTGGAAGGCCTGCCATAGAGGCAGGAATTTCTGGGCCAAAGGCACCTGATGATCAAAGCATGCCCGAAAGGCCCCTAAGGGGCCTGGGAGCCCGGGAGAGGGGACCGATCAGAGGTGTGCCCAGCTGGGAGGACGCCCATGCTCACCTTTCACCAGCCTCCAGAGGTAGACGTCCACCTGCTCGGAGGCCTCACGCTCCAGGGCAAAGCGACGCAGGTTGTCTGGACTTGGGGACACGGACTTGTGCACGAGGACCCGGCCTGGCGCCTTCGGACACCGGGTGGCACTGATCTCGCCACGGCCGGGGTCTGCCTTGTCCTCTGGAGACACAAGGAGCTTGTGAATGCTTTCTCTCCCTACCCCTGCAGGCTCTGAATCCCCCTCAGGGATTGTGAAACTTCTGGTGCCCTGGGAGGAGGTCTCTGGGGAAGGGAGGGGCGTCTCCTCCTTCCACCCCCATTGATAAGCATATCAGCAAACTTCTCCCCGGTCAGGCCCCAGATCATTTCCCACCTCCTCCAGGCGGCCCACTGCTTCCTCCCACTCACAGCTTTTAAAACGCTTCATGATTTCCCATGACTCCCCCTCATGCCCTTAAATCCCACAATGCCTTGTTGTTGCTTCACTCGGGTGTGTTTTCTCTTTAAAAGAGAAAGGCGAAGGGCAGGAACCATGTCCTTCAAGTCTGCTGAGTCGCTCACACCAAGCACAGGCTCTCAGTGAACACACACAGAATGAAAGGTTCGAGAGGGCTTAGGTGATGATGATGGCGGTGAGGAAGATGATGGTTTGGTGGTGGAAGAGGTGGTGGAAGAGATCATGATGATGGTGACTGCAGTGGCAGAAGTGGGAGGGTGTGGGGGTGAGGATGAGATGGTGGGGATGCTGGTGATTTTTTGGTTGGTGCCAAATTGGATACAGTCTTGAGGTTTTGACATGTCGGAATTCCAAGAACATTCTCCAGAGTTTTCCGTGTATCAACATTCCCTGACTATTTTTCAGGGACCAAAGGATATACTAGACTTACTAGTTACGAAGCCCTCAGAGATGTCCAGCTGAGAGCTGGTACAGTCTCAATATTTTCAAAAGGAAATGGCCTGGATGCTGACGGCGGAGCCCAAGACCAGGTATGTGCGTGAAGGAGCTCAGGAGCGGGCCTCAGCCAATCTCAGAGAGAATTCCAGAGAGGGTCCCAGGTTCGATTCCGGTCAAGGGCATGTACCTTGGTTGCGGGCACATCCCCAGTGAGGGTGGTGCAAGAGGCAGCTGATCGATGATTCTCTCTCATCGATGTTTCTAACTCTCTATCCCTCTCTCTTCCTCTCTGTAAAAAATCAATAAAATATATTTAAAAAGAGAGAGAGAGAGAGAGAATTTAAGTTGAGCCCCCATCCAGCGTGTTCCAGGCACCATCCTGTCGTGCTGCCCCCAAACCTATTATTCTGATAAATAATAGTTTGGCCTTAAGTTTGGATGTTGATTTCCGATTCATAAAGCATTTTCATTAACCCTGTGTCTGAAGCTCAGAAAGGTCAAGCAACTTGTCCAAGCTCACAACCGTAAGTTAGGTAAGTTAGGCAAGCTAACGTAAACGCAAATATCCTGACATGAATGCTGGGGTGGGTGGAGACTCAGGGTAATCGCAGCCACTCGGTTATCTCATTTGTGGAAGTAACTGAGTTGTGAGAATTAAATGAAACGTGTGCAATCACCGGGTGCTAGCAGGTTCCTGATGCATGTTTCCTTCCTCTTTCTCTTCTCCGTTCCTCTCCCTTCGGCTTTTCCAACAAAGCCCTTGAACCAGATGTGATCAGGGCACAACCTCACCTGCACCTCCTCTCCCCTTGCCTTGTTCTAGGCTGCAGGGTCTAGGCCTGCCCCTCACATCAGCTACATTGACACGCACAGGCTGTGCTTCTCAATGACATATTCCGACCAAAGTTCCCTCTGGCACATCCCAGGGTCACACGGCATTGTTGAAAAGAACTCAGCCGGCGAGTCTGGAAGCCTGAGTTCTAGTTCAGCTCCACCACCACTTCGCTTGTGACAGGGAAGTCCCTTCTCTTCTCTGGGTCTCGGTGTTCCCATATGCAGAGGAGGGTTGAAGGAAGGCAGCAAGGGTCAAAAGTATGGTCTTTGGAGGAAGACAGATGAGGGTTCAAACCCCAGTTCTGTCACTGACAGTCGGTTGTGTGACCTGGGACAAGTATTTACCTCCTCGTCCTGTAAAACAGGGATCCCTGCCTTGTTGGTTGTGGTGGGGGTTACATGAATCCAAGCATGCAGGACACCTGCCTGGCACATGGGAAGTGCTCAGTAAACTTGGGCTATTTCTCTTAAACGCCCTCCTATCCTAAGAGGCTATGACTTCATCGAACCTAGAACACTATCTGATTCTACATACACAATGTCTGAGAGCCTCTGACGCTGTCTCTGTCACATTACACGCTTGGCACTTTCTGCTGCTGTGCTCCCAGCATTCTGTGCTCCCAGCATTCTGTGCACCTAAAAACCCTGCCTTCTGTGGCTCGGCACCCACGCCCCGTCCACGTCAGAGCTGCTCGCTCCGGCTCGTGCCCTCCCTGCCCCCAGCTCCTCTTTGTACCTGGGCAGATCTTGCAGCACTTCCCCGCCACTTTCTCCGGGCGGTGGCAGGGGTACTCCGTGGGGCAGGTCACCCGCTGGCAGTCCTGGCGGCCGTCCTGGCAGGTGCACAGGATGCAGGGCAGGGGTCCGAAGGCGCGGAAGGCTGGATGCCACACCTCCCCGTGGGAGTACGTCCTCCCACCATGCACGCAGGCTGGGCCAAGGAGGGCGGAGAGACAGAGGAGGGTCAGGGCCTTGGGCTCCAGCCAGAGCCAAGTAACAGGCAGGGGCGGAGCCTCGGAGAGCCCCTGCTCCACAGCCTGGCGCAGCCACACTGACTGGGAAGTGCAGGCCAGAGTATAAAACCGGCCCCACTTCCCTGACACCTCCCCCATCTCAGCACTCAGGGCTGTGACATGCTCAGTGAGGACTTGCTGGAGGAGCAAGGAGGGCGATGGCCTCACAGGGGGAGATAGGACATCCAGGTCTGTCAAGCTCTGGCAGGTCCCTCCCCCTTCCTCAGCCTCAGTGTCCCCTCTGCACCCACCCCCACCCCCTCAGTCGGGGTGGTGCCTCCCCACTCTGTGGCCGTGGCTGTCCCGGTGGCCTCCTTCCCAGCCATCCTGACCATCCTCCCACAGCCCAGCTCTGCCCGCTCCTTCCACTGTCAAGAACGTCCCCTCAGCACTTCCTTAAGTTAGAGTCATTGATGGATGTGTCTGGAGCCCCTCAAGGACAGGGACCGTTTTTCATCTCTGTTCTGGGCCCCTCAGTTCCCAGGAGAGACATAGCGGATGCTGATTCTATCTCTGACTCCATACGCTGAACCTCAGTGTCCCTGTCTGTCAAAGGAGGGGGGAATCAGACCTTACTACCTTGAAGGACACCTTCGTTTTGGTGCTCTATGCATCTATAAACTCATCGCCAAATTGGGATAGGAGAACCACTGAGTCAGGCTGGAGGAATGGGAGGTAGGAGCAGTCAGGGGGAGAGGGGTGTCCCCCTTTCCCCACCTCAGGGGTTGGAGGAGGTTCCCATCCCCACCTTTCTTATGTTTCTCCTTCAGGACGATCTTGACTGTGGTGCTGCCTGCCCCCTTTGGCCGGAAGTGGCGAGGGATGAAGCCCAGAGGGGAGCTGAGGCCAGTGGGGGCTGGGGTGTCCAGGCTTCTCTTTCTCCCGCCGTCCCCTGAGCATGGATCCTGGGAATGTCTCTGCAGATGGCAGAGAAGGTAAAGGTCACCGATAAGCCACCGCCAGAGAAGGAGTGTCGAGGCACGGACTACAGCGAGTGGCCTGAGGGTAGACGCCAGCGTGACTTCCCGGTGAAGAAGGGGCCCGAGCTAGGGACAGAGCGATCTGGATGGGGTCTAAGATGTTCTCAGACAACGGGTCTTTGAAAACTCGGAGGGTACTTTGGAAATCCAGCCTCCAACAAGCCCTTCTTAGGCCTGTGAGAGCCAGGGCCATGGCACTGGGTGGGCAGAAGGGTTCGGGTCCTTATCTGGGTGACATAAAGTGGTCAGGGACCTGGAGAACTTCTAAATGTTTAAGAAGCAGAAGGTGAGAATGCAGTGAGGATGAATGTCAGGAAGTCCTTCTTTGAGAAGTGTTAGGTGCTGGGACAAGGAGGCAGGCCTCTGATGATCCCACCAGCACCCCATGGGGCAAAGACGAGGAGCGGCCCCATCCGGACACAGAGGGTCCCCAGAGCTCCAGCCCCGACCCCCTTCCTGAGCCCCTGGAATCCAAGGTCCCAAGACTCTCAGCTCCAGACCAGATGGGGAAGCTGGCAGGGATAGCAACAGGCGCGTGGTGAGGGCAGTGTCACGGGACAGGAGCTTTGCGTAGTTTGGGGACCGGCAGCTCTAGGCTAGGGGAGAGGAGCCAGTGGTCTGGGGCAAGTGGCAGAGCTTTACCCCACCTCACTGACCCCTATCACTCCCATTCCTTCTTCTGCAGCCCGTCCTGCTCTGCACAGTCTCAGTGAGTCCTCTGATGGCTGAGCTGAGCCCACAAGCGCTCCCAAAGCAGAAACCCTACCTAAGGCTCCAGCTCAAGCCCAAGCCCCTAGGAGGCCCCTGAGAAATGCTTGTCAGGTGGAATAGAGGCAAGAAGGGATTGAAGGGCCCAGCCCCCTAGCACACTGCCTCCCAGGGAAAGGATGGGGCGAAAGGGGATGGCCTGGCTCAGGTCCTGGGGCACCGGCATCCAGACTCCACCTGAGAGGGCCCAGCCAAGGCGGGGAGGATGAGATGGTGGAGGAGAGGGAAGAGCTCTTTGGCTCGGAGCCCTGGGAAGATACAGGGAAGGGAACCCCACCTCCAGGGGAGCCAGGCAGAAAGAGCAGGTGGAGCTGTTCACATTGTTGGCAGCGCAGATGGCAGAGGCGGGGCGTGAGCTAGTACAGGAGCCCATTCTCCCACCTCTTCCCTCTGCATCCGGAGAGAGCTGGGCAGTTCAGTGCACTGCGCTCTGGACCGAGACTGAGAGGGGCCAAGACAGGAGGGGTAGTCCCAGACAAAGAAGCGGTATCTCAGGAGCCGGGTGGGGAGGGCGGGCCTAAATGAGAGGCCACGCCCCCAGGGAACCCGCCGCTCAGAGGTGGCCCGAGTAAGGATAGAGTAAGGACAGACAAGGGCTCTGGATGGAACGGGGTCAAAGGGTTTCCCAGGAGGAACAGCGGTATGTTTGGGACCTGCGCCTGCATGATTGGTGCTCCTTCCTGGCCCCTCCTGGCCCATCAGCCATGATGGGGGCCATGACAGGAGGCTAAGGTGAGGGGCTGGACATGGTGGGGCTCATGGAGCTGACCCAGGGGACAGAGGAGAAATGAGAGTTCCTTGCTCCACCGTCATGGAGACTTGGGCCCTGGCTACCAGCCCACCTCCCTTCCTCTCCCCTCCCTGTCAGCCCATCCGTGTACTCACCGCCCCGCGGTGTGACTGTGCCGTGTCCTCTTCGGCTGGCTTCTCACTTGACCCATCTGCAAACCCAGAGGGAAGTCAGGTGAGCCTCTGCCTCCTCGGCCTTGCTGACTGGACCGGCAGACAGACCTCCACCCACCTCCAGGCTCTGCCCACCTCCAGGGCCTATTGCTACCGTGTTTCCCCGAAAATAAGATATCCTCCGAAAATAAGGCCTACTTACAGATTTCCTTCTGACTGAAATATAAGGCATCCTCCTGAAAATAAGCCCCCCCCCCCAGGCTAAACATGAGAGATTTGGTCCACTGATTCTGAAAGAAATGGAGTCACAAGAAATCCACCAAGAAATTCAGGAATTGGATTGTTATGATGATGTTCCAGAAGATGATGACATGATTGTCATTGAATAAATGAGTAAATTCTTGATACTGTAGGATTCACAGTTTGTCTGGTTTGTGTTGACAACTACTATACTATCGTATACAGTGAATAAATTTCCTTTATTTTCATTTAACAATAAATGTGTACCATATTCTTATTCATGGAAAAATAAAACATCCCCTGAAAATAAGACCTAGCGCATCTTTGGGAGCAAAAATTAATATAAGACACTGTCTTATTTTCGGGGAAACAGGGTATTTCTGTAGCCCCAAACACCAGCAGGTCCCTCTGCCCCAGTGGGGACTTGTTCCCCCTTCTCATCATAGCGTCTCCTCCCATCGAGTTGCTGCCCCAGTTTTCACGCACGGACCTCCGGGTCAGCACGAGGACTGAACTGCTTGGCTGGGCCAGAGCTCTGGTTCAGTGCCCATCATGGACCGCCCAGAATCCCATCCCTGCAGCCGCTTAGTCCCAGTCACTGGGCAGCCGCTGGACCAGTGGAAGTTCGTGGCTTTCCCTCTTCCCTCTACAGCCCCAGCCTTTCCCGAGAAGCAGAAGATGACTTAGAGCACGGGTCACACTTCATATCAAGCAGAGGCAGCTCCCCAAGGCATCCCTTACACTGTGTCTCCCTCCTTCCTGCTCCTGGGACGGCAATAAAAATGCACAGCAGCCTCTGCGCAGGCTCAGCCTTCTGGGAGCGCCGGGCTGAGTCCCCGCCCATGAGGAAGGGATGGTGTGCTACATGCCGAGTGTCTCTGAGGTTCCCCCTGCTCTATCGGCCCATGGCAGGGGGGTGGGGTGGGCATTGCCATATCTAGGGGCAGACTCACTTTTGCAGGCCTGGCAGCAGGAGCTGGGCAGGGGAAGGGGTGCAGGGCAGCCTGGTTCCGGGCAGGTCATGAGGCCGCAGTAGATCTGGCCCTCCTGACAGACAGAGCAAGCGGGAGTTGGGAGATGGGCTCTGGTGAGGATCGGCCCCTGCCGGGGGAGCACATGGCCTTGAGGTCTCCCCTGAGGTGGGAGAGGGAGGGAGCGGCAGAGTGATGTGGGCAAGGCCCAGCCAGTCCAGAGGAAGGGTCCTCTGTCCCCTCCCACTCCCTCTCCGGGCCCTGGAGTGGCATCCTCCTCCGGCAGCTAAGGCGTTGTCACACCCTGTCTCTCCGTGGGCTCTCACGGCCATTCAGTGACGGGGGACCCTCCCTTCCTTCCGGCTTACAGGTGGGAGAGTCTGCAGGGCGCCTGAGCTGCTGAGTCAGAGACACAGCGGGACAGGATGGACTAGAGCCCAGTCTTCGGGCTTTTCCTACCGAAACCAATGTCCCCCCCTGGCCTGGGAAGGGGGACCCGGCATCAGGGAGAGACGTTGGTGGGGGATGCCTGGGGCTCCCCTTGCTCTCACTAAAAACCCCACATCTGAAACGTTGGGACTCAGCCCCGAAAGGCAACACAGCCGGGGAAAGGGCCTTCTGGGAATCAGGAGGCCAGACACCTCTGATGAGTCACTTCTCTTCTCTGGGCCTCAGTTTCCTCCTCTGTGAGATGGGGGCACACCCATCCGGGCTGTGAAGATCAAGTGAGGGGACAGTGGTGAAAATCCTTTCTACAATGTAAGGCATGGGGGGGGGGGCAATGGTATATGTACAAAGATAATAATTTAATTAAAAAAAATAAAATGTAAGGCCTTTTTAAAAATGGGAGGAAGTGATATCACCTCAAGTCCTTTCCTTAGTAACATCTTCTCCACCGAGTCTCAAAAGGATTCTGAGCCCTCAGACAAGGCCAGGCGTCAGACCCATACAAGCAGGCATGAGAAGAGGGCAGGGGAGACCCAAGTATTCAGGGAGAAGGGAGAAGACCTCTCACGTATGCGTTCCCCGCCCCACCACCATCATCTCTGTCTTTCCCCGCTGCCCCCTCCTAAAGCAGGCCTCGTCCCTCCACAGGAGGCGGCACGATGCAGGAAAAAGGGCGTGGGTTTGGGAGTCACGTGGCCCCGGGTCTGAATTCCGGCTCTGCCCCTTGACAAGCTGGGGAAGTTGCTTGACTGCTCTGAGCTTCCATGTCTTCATCTGAGATCCTTCTCCCCGGGCCTCTGGGAGCTTGTGTACAAACATGAGACATTCCTATGAATCTAGCAGGTACCATGGAGTACTGCAAAATAACATTGTCCCTGCAAAAAAACGATCCCTCTCTGCATTGACTTACAAGTAGTCACCCTCCTTTGTAAGTTGTCTGCCCGGCAGCACAGATACTTTGGGGGTCCGAGCCTTACTGAGGAGATGGAGAGGCTGGCCGGGAGAAGGGCCTCACTCACGGCCACACGGGGAGCCGTGGAAGAGCTGGAGCCCCCACAGGGAGCTCCTCCCCTCGCACCTCTACTGCCTCCGGTGATGATTTTAAACAGGGAGGACACTGGGGACCACCTGGTCAGACTTCGTATGCATGCAAAGGATCTGGGGCCCAGAGAAGTTTGGTGACCTGACTGTAAGGGAGTCTGGAGAGCAGGAGTCTCTCCTGACGAGGCCCAGACAAGGAGCTGAGGGGCAGGCTGAAACCCCTGCAAACCCGTGGCAGGGCCACACCGAGAACCCCCAAATGAGGAGGGTGATCAGGCCTTGTTTGGCTTCCGCTGTGGCCCCTGTAACCTCAGAGTCAGCCTTGCCTGTCCCTAAGCTCAGCTCTGACGACAGCAGGGGGCGTTTAGGCAGCTTCCGATTAAAATCCACTCGCTGCAATCTGGCCCTGTCTCTGTGCCTCAGGACTGATACCTGATTATTCACTCACTTATTCATTCATTCATTCATTCCCTCATTCATTCATTCATTCATTCATTCACGCATTCATTCAACAATTACTCAAGACATCCTCTGTATGCCAGGCTCTGGGCCAGGAGCAGCGGAAGATAAAGAAACGAATTGGGTAGGTTCCCTCCCCTCCAAGAGTACAAAGTCTACTGGAGGGAAAAAAAGGAGCCAACGTCGGTCAAGGTGACCCGGGCTGCAACAGGCAGCTCAGGAGGGTGCAGAGGTCCAGAGAGAGGGGACGTGCTCCTGAGCCCATTCACCCTCACTTTGCGTTGACCGGGGAGAACCACCTCCCGCCGCCCGGCCCACACCACCACGCCTCTCAGGCCCGGACCGCAGGCCTGGGCCCCGGTGACGGCAGGAGCCTCTTACGGTGCAGCTGCAGAGGACACACTGGTTGGGCAGGCGGGAAGGGAACAGCTCGTGGGCGCTGAACATCTCTCCGTGCTGGTACGTGGTCCCGTTGTGCTGGCAGGACTTTGGGGGGGCCCGGAGCCCAGAGGGCGTGTGAGGTTCTGCGGGTGGGGAGGGGCAGGAGGAAGAAGAAAAATGAGGTTCCATGTGGATCTAAGAACTTTGCCAGAATGAACTGGGCCACTTTTCTGAAGATTTTGGATTTTAGGTTATTTTGGCATTTAAATTGAGTTCTGGCCTTCTTCTCCCAGACCCCCGCCCCTTACATCAGCTAGACGCCCCCCCCCCCCCCCCCCCAACATCAGGTAGCTAAGAAGAGGCCCTGCTGACACCTACATCTGATCTTGTCACTCCTGCCCATGGCTCCTCACCACGCCCTTTTGGCCCCCCAGTGTCTGAGCTGGTCCCGACCAGAGCCTGAGGCCAGGTCAGAAACCTCAGCTCCACTGAGCCCCACTCAGCGGGGACCTGTGTCAGTTCCTGTAACACTCAGCGAGCGTCCATGGGGCACCTCCTAGTGCCAGCGCCGCTCTAGGTGCTGGGGACACAGTAGCGAACAGAACAAAGTCCCTCGTGGGGTGACATCCTCGTGGAGTCAGCTGAGGTGATCTAGACTGTCCCTGTGCCTGGGGTAAGCTCCTGTCATTCTCTGGTCACCGGAGCCTCCCTCCCTATCACCTACCAGTTAGCCAGTGTCCATCCTGTCAGGAAGAGGGGCAAGCCTCAGCCTCCCATCCTGAGAGAACCTCTCAGACGCCGTTACTAAACACCTCTGTACCAGGCACTGGGCTAGGCTGACAAGACTCAGCCCCGCCCATCAGGAAACTCACAATCTGATTGGTAGAGAGACATTCCAGAGGCAGTGATGCTGCTGCATGGACAGGGCTAGGGCACTGAGGGGCAACCACTAACCCAGGCAGGACATGCGGGTGGGGTAGACAGGGGATGATGGTCTGAGCTGAGTCATGAAGAACATGTACAGCCAGGCAGGCAAAGTGGCAGGGAAGAGAGAGAGTGAGAGAGAGAGAGAGAGAGAGAGAGAGAGAGAGAGAGAGAGAGAGAGAGAGAAAGAGAGAGAGAGAGAAGCGTGTGAGGAAGAAGGGGCCTGGGCTAAGGCATAGTCAGCAAGGAGCGGTCAGGATTCCAGGAGTCAACCTCAGACAGGAGGAGGCATGATGCCCCCTCACTAGGCAGGAGGAGGCTCCGACTCCTGCTCCCTGAGGGAATCTCCGTGGCCCAAGGCAGAGCCACGGTCAGATCCCACTACAGCCCCACCTGGAAAACAAGCCCCTCTCTCTCCACTCCACACAAGCCCCGAGCTCCCAGGAGAGCCCTGGCTTCAGAGCCTGGACTGAGCTGCAATGGGGAGCCTCCCTCAGCCCCTTCCTGGTGCTTCTGAGGAGGGATTCTCCTCTCAGCATCTCCCCGCCGCCCACACTCTTCTCCGTCGGCCTCCCGCTGGCTGCCTCTCTTTGGCCACTTGCAAATGCCAGGATCTTTGCTGGCGACCTCTCCTCTCTGTTACCTTTACTTCACAGAATCCCGATCTTAGAGGCTCTTGCAATCTTAAACTCGTGGAATCATAGACATTTAGCATCAAGGTACAGAAAGTCCCTGAACCACAGTGCTGGGAAGAATCTCCGAATACACATACTCCAACCCCTCTGGTCACTCCCAGGCCCAGAGCTGTGGTCACGGGGCTCCCTGCAGGGCCTCCAGCCCCAGATCACTCACCTCCACTTGGACAGGCAGGTCTACACCCTTGGCTCTGGCCAGCCGGAGACTGTAGCCCACATGTGCCCTCAACAGGCCATTCACGCCCCTGTTTCCCCCAGCTGCTCCCCACAGTCTCTCCCTGCTCCTGCTAAGCACAGCTGCTTAAGAATGAGCAGCTTGCTGCTGCCCCTGCCCTCACCGGGTATCCAGGGTGTTTCTTCCCCTGAGCTCTCTGGTGTCTCAGCACCTCTCACCAGAGAGACTGCCCCTCTCCTTCCAGGGGCCTCCCTCTGCCAGAGGCTTGCATCGGAGGTGAGGTAAGGGTCAGGGGGCACAAAGGATGAAGGAGGCTACTTACCCACACACCGGGGACAGCACTGCTGTGGCTCAGTCACAGGCTGGGGGCAGTGGACGGGCGGGCAGTGGAGACGGTAACAATTCACATGGGCATTCTGAAGGGGACACAGGGGTCAGTGTTGGTTCCAAAGAGCCATTGCCTCCGCCTGAACCCATCCTCTCCCCAAAACACTCATTTTAAGCCAGAGGTGGGATCAAAACAATAGGCTCCTGTGTCCAGTCTCTCCCCTTCCCTTGCTCTCTTGGGTGGCTCGCCTATCCACGTTCCTCTCTGACCACGGAGGAAGGCACAGTGCACATGGGCTTGAGACACACAAGGGGAAGCCTTGAGTTATTTCTGCGTTGATCTGACTGTGTTAATAGAACTCCAGGGGTTTGTTCTTTGACCTTTGAGCCTAAACGTCATGAAGGCTAAGAGAGGAACGTGACATATGAGGACAGGTGGCAGGGATGGGAACAAGACTAGAAACCTGGTGTGGAGCAGGCCCCGGGCTTTGGGATCCACTCCCTCAATCTCTGGGAGGTCCGGTGACCTTGGCACCAGAGAAGGAAGAGCCCGAAGATCTAATGCTTTTTTCAAGGACAGCAAATGAAAGAGAAGGGAGCAGAGAAACTGGACAGAGAGAGATGAGGAGCTGGAGAGAGAGAAGCCACCACACCTTTTATTGGTTTCCCCATCCCTAGGCTTCCCACACTGTATCTCCCCTGTTGGGAGAGTCATTGTACTGTGTTGTGATGAACCATGTATAGCTGTGTCATCTATTCATCATGAATTCCCAAGGACAAGGACCATTCATCTCTGAATTGTCAGCATAGGGCCTGGCTCCAGGCTAGTATCTGCTGGAGTTTGAATGAAGGAGTGAGGGAATGAATGGGAGCCAGGAACAGAGGAACTGATGGTCTCTCTCTTAGAGGAATGGAGCCAGCTTTGTTCAAATTTTGAAGTTGACAGGTTTGTTTCCTGTCTTCTTGCACATCTAAGTGCCCAACAGTACTTGTCCCAAAGGCAGCCTCTGACCCCACGGAAAACCCAGGCCCAGGCCTTAGTCCCTCTGGAGTCACTGCCCCCCAAGGAGTAATCTGGGCTGAGGCATCAGAGTCCACAGAATTGATCTGAGCTCCATAGGGCGCCTTTTAGAGGCTTGGCACACAGGGGTGCCTAACAAATGTCCAGCGGGTGCACTGAGCCCTCAGGTGAGAAGGCAGGGTACAGTGCGAGGAACTGTGTGGCCTGAAGAGGTAGAATCTCTCTCTCGATTCTGTCCTTGAAGGATCCCAGGGATGGAGATGATCAGCGACACGCAGCAGGAAGTGAGATGGAGAAAGGCCTGGGGTTGAAAGGGCAGGGGGCCTCGCAGCCAAAGGTGCCTCTCAGGGAAATCATAACTACTGTGTACTGAGTGACTCCTGGGTGGGGGCTTTATGTTAAACAGAAATGCATTATCTCACCTCATCTTCTCAAGAACCCTAGAGGTGGATCCTATTGTCCACACTTTCAAAATGAGAAAAGAGCGTCTGAGAGGCGATGTTGCCTGAGATGCCACAGCAGGTAGACACACCTCCAGGGCCGTGCACTTTCCATGATGCTGAGGTGTCTCTGGTGAACGGGGCGGGGACTCACGCATTCACTCAGTAGTCATTGCATGACCACTGTGAGCCAGGGACATAGCAGCGAATGAGACAGACAAGGTTTCTGCTCTCATGGAGCTTTCATCCTTGCAGGGGAGACAGACCATAAAAAACAAACAAGTAGCCCTGACAGGTTTGGCTCAGTGGATAGAGCATCAGCCTGCAGACTGAAGGGTCACAGGTTTGATCCAGGTCAAGGGCATGTACCTTGGTTGCAGGCTCATCCCCAATAGGGGGCGTGCAGGAGGCAGCTGATGGATGCTTCTCTCTCATCGATGTTTCTAACTCTCTATCCCTTTCCCTTCCTTTCTGTAAAAAATCAATAAAATATATTTTAAAAACACACACACAAAACAAACAAACTAACAAGTAAGAACAAGATCATTTCATGCCCAACTGGTGTGGTTCAGTGGTTGAGCATTGATTTTCAATCAGGGCACATGCATGGGTTGCAGGCTCTGTCCCTAGTTGGGGGCATGTAGGAGGCCAATCAATAATTCTCTCTCATCTTTGATGTTTCCATTGTCTCTCCCTCTTCCTTCCACTCTGAAGTCAAATATATATAAAAGTTCATTTCTTATGTTAAATTGATGATAATAACCACAGGGTAATGTGACGGAGTTACCAAGGTTAGACTATTTTAGAAACAGAAGGCCGAGAAGGCCTCATAAGGAGGGAACACTGACATTATGAACTGTGAGAGGAGAAGGAGCCATTTGTGAGAAGATCCAGGGGAAGAACATTCCGGGTGGAGGAACAAGTAGGAATGAGTTTGGGGTGTTGGTGCGGTTAAGAAATGAGTTTAGAGAAATAAGGTGAAATAAGACGAAAGTCAGATCACACAGAGATAGAGCAGTGGGGATGGGGAGTGGATTGGGGGTTGGGGGGCAGCGGTTGAATTTTTCTTTAGGTGCACCCTAAAGCTATTGGAGGGTTTCAGGGACTTCGGAATGACATGGTCAGTTTCATGGTCAGTAAAGATGCTTCTAGCTCCTAGGTGGGATTTGCGTTTAGAAAAGGGACAGGGAGGCCCATTGGACGCCTTGCATAGCATCCAGGTAGGAGATGAAGATGCTTAGATTAGGGGGAGCAGGATGGTGAGAGAAGTGAAGGGATTTGGGGTATATTTCAGGGGCATCGGCTATAGCTCTTTGGGTTGAGAAAACCGGGCACGTAAACTCTGGGGAGGGAGAAATGAATGAGCTTCCGTAGATCACAAAACTTGGACTTTGTCAACTGGACCACATAATATGTCTGGAATTTTCTGTTTGGGTTTCCTTCCTGTTCTTTGGCTGTATTTCATCAAGTTCTTTTTGAAAAGCTGATTGGCCTCAGATGTGCTAAGGAACACCAAGGCGGGCAGAGCTGGGGGGTTGTGCCCCTGTGGGCGGCAGAGTTTCACCTGGGCCAACATGGTAGAAGTAGGAGGGAGTCAGAGGGAAAGGCCACAGGAGGAGGGAGACCCCAGTGATCGGAGAGAGGAGAGGGGCTGGCCCACAGACCACCTACTTGCCAGAGTCCCCTCTGATTCCCTTCTCTGTTCTCACCCTGAGCTGGGATTGTTTAACAAGGCTCTTACTGGCCTTCTGCACACCTCTCGTGGCTTTTGAAGGAAAAGAGAGGGCCTAGGGTACTGGCTCCAGCTGGGAGCAAGGTCCACCCTCCCACCAAGCACCAGCACCAGACAGAGATTGGTGAGGACAGCATGCCAATCAGGCTGGGCTCCAAGCAACTAAACTAAACCAAGGGCTGTTTCAAGCCTCCTAACTCCTTCCCTCCTTCCATACCCTTCCAGCCTTTACCTGGCCTGTGGATTCTGGACCACGTGGAGGTCTCATTTATCCCACCCGGTTGATTGTACAAGGAAGGCCCTGTGAAGGCTGCTGGGTTGGGGATGGGTGGCAGGAGAGAAGAGGTGAACGAAAAGACAGGGTCTGCCCCAATCTGTTCAGTCTTCGGCAGGACACCGAAGCAGACAAAGGAGAGAGCCTAAGAAAACCTGCTCTCAGGCTCCACCTAGGAGAGGCAGTAACTGGCAGACACAGGTACCTACAATCCTGGCCAACAGGGATCAGGATAAAGGGACAGAGAAACGAATGTGGGACCCAGAAGGAGAAAACACTTGTAGGTGAGGGATCAAGTGAGGCTCTTGATAGAGGTGGCATTAGGCCAAAAGCCTTGAAGAACAACCCTCTGGACCAGTGGGGTTAGGGGGATGCATCCTAAGGTGGGTGGCAAGAGAGGGCTGGAGGAAACAGCATGAGGAAAGGAGGAGAGGGAGGCCTGGTCAGAAAGGCTCTTGTGTGGTACACAGGAAGCGGGGAGGCTGGCCCCGGCAGGGGTGGAAAGACAGCTGGACGAGAGATGGGAGAGCTGCATCCCGGCCCAGCCTAGCTGCTAACTCCTAGTGTGACATCTCTGAAAGGGGTGAGCAGTGGTGCCAGGTATTGTGTACTCCCAAGCTCCTAGGTATTGGAGACCGGGTGTAAGCTGACAGAGTCCTTGCACCTGAAGGAACTGATAAGATTCAGTCCCCTACCCACACAGTGTTGTTCCCAAGCTTGTTCGGATGGCGATTCCCAATTATCGGCAAAATGAGAGCAACTTTTCATAGCTTACCAAAAAAATCTATAACTATGTACTGAAATGTACTATTGATAAACCAAAAATTTGCCTTTCTACTCTGTCTCTCCCCTAGAGAGTAAGAGAAACAAAGAGTACATTCCTCCTGACAAACCTCCTATTCAAATGTTTATGTATAAAATTGAATTAATTACTCATATGGACTCAGAAAGGTGAGTCACAGACTTGCATGTTAAGGTGAGTCATAGACTTGCCATGGCCAAGGTTCGTTTTTTATTTGAAAACTAGAAATAATGTATCTTGGTTATTATTCTCTAAATTATATTTTTAAAATGAAGTAAAGATTGCATCTATAGAAGATTTAAAAAAATAAATAAATAAAAATTAAAAACACATGACACAATTAATAAAGATACTATGGTCTGTCAGCGGCTTGCAGCCCTCCCGATCCCGCTTTCCTATCTTTCTTTCTTTTCTCAATTCCCACCTCCGTACCTCAACCAAATTCACCCGTCAAACTAGCCCTAACACCGAGGGAGCCTGCTTCCAGAGTGCTCCTGACCTCCAGAGTCCCTGACCTTGACGTCTCCCAGGGTCTCCCAGACATACCTGACACCGGTGGCCCGGGGGCCGGAGGCACCTACCTCGGAACATGTGCAGCGAAGGCAGTACATCAGGCCCTGTGGCTCCAGGTAGGGGTGCCAGCTCTCGCCCGGGGAGTACTTCTTCCCGTGGAAAAGGCAGAACATGTCTGGGCCTGGCAAACCAACCAGCGCTTTGTCAGTCCCAGGAGGCCCCCACCAAAGACCCTGCCTCACCCCTCCTTCTTCTGGCTCCAGGAAGAACGTCATCTGCATCACTCAGGCAGCAGAGAATCCACTGGCCATGCTCTCCCAGGCAGGGGGCCCGAGCACCTGAGCTTGAATCTCAGCTGGACCAAGCTCACTTGCTGTGTGACTCCAGGCACGCCGCTGCCCCTTCTCTGTACGTGAACACTTCTCTCATGAGTGAGGTAAGGGATGAAGCAGGGAAAGTGCTTTAAAGATTCAAATTGTGGTATAAATGCTAGTGACGATTAGATGAATAATTTGAGGCCCGGAGAGGATAAATCACACTCCCAAGGTCAGGCAGCAAGCCAGTCACCAAGCAGGGATGACAGCCTCAGTCTAACTGGCTCCGTCTGCCCTCAGAATCACACTTCCTTCCTTTTCCTTTGTCTCACTTTGCTGATTTATTTACTATATCTCTATCCTCCCTTCCCTTGCCTTTTGCCGCTCTCTCTCTCTCTCTTTCTCTCTCACACCTTCCTTTTGAATAAAGTCACTCAAAGCAGTTTTCTTGATTTCATATAATACTTTGTCCCTGTATCTCAGCCAGCTGTGACGGATAATGCTTGAATTGGGAAAATAAAGTACTGCCTAGTGAAAGGTTAGAAAACTGACTTCACTATCCTTAAAAATAGACATCGGTACTATAGAATTGCCAACTGATGATTGTGTGCATGATTGCACATCAATTACTTTTGTCATCTGCATATTCATTGTCAGTATGGAGATGAATGCTTCTACAAATGATTGCAATATTTAGCTCTCCTGTGTGCTAGCTCTCCTGCAATCCTGTTTTCTTCAAATGTCTACCTCTCTCTCACTTCCTGAGGCCAACCACTGGGCTCTTTCTAGAACACACCAGCCCCCACCTCTTATCCTCTCACTGCTTAGCAGCAGGTCAGGGCTCCCGGTCAGACTGAAGCTCTTGGCCCCACCCCTCTGCCTCTCACCCTATCCTTCCCACTCTTCTGCACTCAGGCACCTGCTGATTTTTACAACCCCAAGGAGTTGCTGTCCTTCCCATAGGCAAGCTCTCCGTTATCTGCAGAACAACCTGAGCTCTTTGAGGGAGGTACCAGGAGACTCAGTACCAGCAAAATGTCCACAGAGCTTTGTTGAATTAAATGAGATAGACATATAGAGAAAGGAACCAACGTTTCTTAGCTAACTTCTCTTTGCATAAATTACTTACCTCATGAACATTCTGGTTTTGAAAATTAAATGGGTTAGTGCTTGTAAAGGGCTTACGTGGCTCAGTTTCTGACTTAAGATAACCACGGTAACAACAACCCTGCAGGATGGACATTATCATCTTGAATAGACGTGTAAAATTACGGAATCACTGGGTATCGGAAGCAGTGCAGCTCACACACAATGCACAATTCCCTCTCAGGGCAGGTCTGGGCTGGCGCTTGGCCCCGGCTCAAGGGCCATTCCCAACCTTCAGAAAATGTCCTCTGTAAGAGGCTGAAATCGGCCTCCCTCTGGCTCATCGCACTGCTCTTGCTCTGCCTCGTGGGCCTCTCAGAACAAGGGTTTGAGGCCATGGTCATGACGCCTCAGAGTCTGTGTTTCGATGACCATTGGGGACTGAGGAACACAGGGCTTAGTTCCTTCCTTACCCCTCTTCAGTCCCCCAAAGTAGAAGAGGGGTTCAGACAGCCGATCCGGTTCCCAGCAAGGCCCCCGGCTGGCCTGTATCAAACGAGGAGTGTTTATCTCTCAGCCTCTGCTGGCAGAGAGGGCGGGACACGGGCCCAGCCAGGGTCCTTGTGGGAGCCAGCCCAACTCTCCAAGGATTGAATAATGTCTTTCTTCCCCAGTCCCCTCCTCCGGCAGGGAGGGGCGATTGCAACACGACCGTGGCCTTAGATCTCAGCCGTGTGGCTGAAGGAACCTCGTCCCACCTTCTTTGGGGCAGCCCTGTAGCCAGGCTCCTGTGCCAGTTGGCATGCTCCTCCACTCACCGCCCGCACAGAGCACGAAGACAGAGAGAATGCCTCAGCCCATGGCCAGGCCAGGAGGCCCCGCCCCACACCCACAGACTGGCCGCAGTTGAGAGCATGGGGGGCCTGGCAGGCCATCCCCCAACCCCAGGCGGCCAACTGCAGCCTCAGCCCCACCTCACCATGCCTCCTGGGTGAGAGGCACAGGGAAGGGTGACAGTGCCTGGAGATCCCTCTTCTTCTAAGGAGGTGGGTGCCCAAGGCCATGTCAAAACCAGGCAGGAGGGTCACTGCCCGCAGGGGGTGGTCTCTCCTCTGTCCCTACAGTCTTGGCACTAGCCCGGACCCTGGCACACGGCTGATGGAAGGGGCGACAGGTCCTCATGCTACCCGTTCACGGGGGCATCGAGGAAGACTCTTTCCTTCTCTGTGTCTCAGTGTCCCATCTGAGACTGTGTGTGTGTGTGTGTGTGTGTGTGTGTGTGTGTGTGTGTGTGTGTTCAACCGTTTTCGGCAGATAGTTCATAAATCCATGATTTCAAAATTCTAAGACTCCAAGGTTCTAGGTTTCTAAGATTCAAGATTTGAAAATTCCATGTTTCTAAGAGCCTGCATTTCATTGGAAAGTGAAGCCTCTAGAATTGTACGGTTTTTTGGTCTAAGATTCTTTTTAAAATATATATATATTATTAATTTTTTATAGAGAGGAAGGGAGAGGGATAGAGGGTTAGAAACATCGAGAAGAGAGAAACATCAACCAGCTGCCTCCTGCACACCCCCTACTGGGGATGTGCCCGCAACCACTGTACATGCCCTTAACTGGAATCGAACCTGGGACCCTTTAGTCTGCAGACCAATGCTCTATCCACTGAGCCAAACCGGTTTCAGCTAATATTCTATCTTTTGAAGCTTCTATAAACTAGCACGTGTTTATGATCCCACACACCCAGCCTCTCAGGGGCTCCGAGGGGAGGTGGGACCGGGTTCAGGGAGCCAGCAGGCCGTATCCTGAGTGACATGGGAGGAGGCAAAGTCTGTCTCTCACGTCCCCTCCCTCCTACTACCTTTAGTCCTCTGTGGCCTCCCACGCCTGCCCTGACCTTGGGCCTGCCCTGCTGTCTCCCCACCCCACCCCCACCTCTCCTCCCCACCCCCTGCGCCACATCTTCCTCCAAGTCAGAGGGCCAAGAGGGCCTTTTGGAGGCCATGGCCCCTGGCTGTGGTGTCTGACCGGGAAAAGACTGCTGGAGGGGGAAGTTTTTGTTTGAAAAGAGGTACTGGCCCTGTTTTAGGCTTCATGGAGACACAGAAGAAGTAAAGTTAAAGAGGTCCCATCCCCCTCAAAATCCCTCACTCAGTGGACTCTGGCTTTGGAGTCAGATCGGCCAGTGTTCAGACTCGATTTGGCCTTCATTTGCAGCCTGAGTTTAGACACGTTACTTAGCCAATCCAGGCCTCAGTTTCCACATCCATTAAGTGGGATTCGTAATCATCTCTACTTCTACGGTCATTGTAGAATTAAATCAGATAATACATGTAATATGCCTAGTGCCTGATAACATAGTAGATGCTCAATTAAATGGTTGGTGGACATTCGCTCCCCAAAATTTCTGACCATCTGTTTCTTACGGTATTTCTTTTATTCCCAGAATTTTATGAGTAGCCCTGGGCAACCTATTAGGGCGTGAACATCATGGATCCTGCCACTAAAGTCAAATCTCCTTTTCAACCTCACCAACCTCGTTTCTGGGGGCTGCTGGTATTCTCCTAGCCCGACTCACAAGCCAGACTCTCTCGACCCCATCTGATGTCTACACAGACCTCGGGCCTTGGGGTGGGATACAAGATGAAAGTGGGCCAGAGACGTTAGAGGAGCAAGCGGGACGGCAGGAGTGAGAGACCAGAGACCAGGCTGGAGAGAGAGGCAGGGACTCAGACAGGCCTTGACAGCCGGGGGGCAAAGGAGAGACACAGAAAAGCTTTACACCAGGGCATGCCAGGGACCAGGCATGTTAGATACAGCACTGTAGGAATGGAGAGTGGATTGGAGGACAAGACGTGAGGCAGAGAGGCCAGGAGGAAGCTGCTGCAGTCGCCTGTTTGGAGATAACATGGACCTGGACCAAGAAAGAAGTAGTGCCCACAGGCAAGCGTGCAGATCTGAGGAAGACTTCCCAGTTACAGTGGGCAGGCTTTGGGACAGACTGGATGCGGGTGGAGAGGGGGAAGGAGCTGTCAGGATGGGACTGAGCCTTCGGGGCTGAGCCAATAGGGGACCTGGGGAACCTGGCACCATAACAGCGCGTGCTACTATCATTAGTAATAACAACACTACTTCCCGCTAGTCACTGAATGAGCTTTTTTATGTAGCGAGTTTTAGACATGTCCACGGGCCTGGTATGTGGCAGTAAGACACGGTGCCCACCCTCAAGGACTGCATGCAGTTTGACCAACGCTACGACAGTGGGCGCATCGGCTCTTCAGGGAAGGCTTCCCTGAGAAGAGGCCTGAGCCGAGTCTCGAGGAGCTAAGAAGGTGCAGGGGGGCAGCAGTAGCTTTGTGCAAAGGCACAGCGGTGGGGTGACCACGGCCCCTGCAGGCCACTGTAGGCAACTGGGGTGCCCTGGGTGCTAGCTCCCCCTCCCATAGGAAGCATCCACTTGGATAAGCCACAGCCAAGGCTCTTTCTCTAGCCTGACACTGACGCACGGTGACTGGATTCAGTTGACCTAGTCTGCATTCACGGCAGCGGTGTTTACCGGACAGCGTCCAAATGCTATCAGGCTGCCCAGGCTGTCAGAACCTGGCTCCCTCTTGCTTTTCCTGAAAAACGCTCTGTGATAGCCCTGCCAACACTTTCAACCTCATCTCCTCTTGCTGGATTTCTCATTCTTCCACCCTCGCCTCCTCCCCCAGGCTCCTTCACACTTCTGTGACTTCTCACCTGTGATTCCCCCCTCCAATGTCTGTCCAAATCCTTCTCA